CCTGGCTAGCAGAAGCTGGAGAGCAAGGTCTGTCCAGGTGGGGAGAAGCTGCTCCCCTGTGGGAAAAACCACTGACTTGACTGGCGTAGTCTGCCACCTCCGATTCCGCACGCTGGTTGAGGCCCTCAGAGATCCCCTGGCGTATAGCTGATGATATAAGAGAAGCCAGGGCAGGAGAAATAGAAGAAGGCAAGGATTCCAAGGTAGCAGGGAGGGGAGGTGGTGGAAGGACAGAAGATGGGGGGGGAGGGGGGGGAGGAGGGGGGGCTGGCAGACAGAAGAAACAGCAGGTAATGGAGCTTGAATGGTGGATTCATGAGAGAGACCCTCCTGGGGTAGGGTGGCAAACAGAATGGCCGCTGCACTGGAAGAGGGAGAAGCCCCCATTTCAAGGCGATCCGGTGAAAGGGAAGATCTGTGCGTGGCCTGGGGTTGAACATGAATAAGGGCAGCCTGGGAATTAGCATCCAGAGTAGAGGCCTGAGGGGGTTGAACAACAATCTCCTTGGCGGCCTGCAGCTGCGCTTTCTGAACGGCCCGTTCCAACGCCCTGTGCCTACGCTGTTCATCCTTCTTAAGCTGAGATGATTTATGGGGCTTTTTATGGCTCTTCTGAAGCCCTGAAGTGCCCTCCCCAGGATCGCTGTTATGGCGCTTCCTTGAATTACTAGGGACAGTCCCACGGCCAGCTCTGGATGAACGGGAGTCCGCCATCTTGCAAATCAAGTTTTGGCGCGAAGGAGAAAATGGAGGGAAGGCCCCAGTACTCACTGCGCACCACACACGACAAATCAGCGAAAATTCGAAGCGCCGGAGGCTCGCCAAAAGCTGCTAAGCAAAGGCTTGATAAATAGCAGCGAAAACGTCAGCAAGGGCGAGAGGGGGCGAGCGCGTTGCAGGACAGGGCTCCGGAGCGAACTCGTGGGCCCAGCCTGATAAGGAGCCAGCCGGCAACCTGATTGACGCTAGGAGCCGTCCAGGGAACAGGAGGAGATTCCAAGCCGAAAGGCCTCTCGATCGCCCAGATAGCTCTTAAAAGAGCTGTTTGTTTGTTTTGCTCTTTTTTTTTTTTTTTTTTTTTGAAGAACAGCAGGAGACTAAACCGTCCAGGTCGACCGAGTCGATAAACTGAAGAGAGCAGCAGGAAGGGCGGGGCTAAACGTCATTGCAGACCCGGTCCTGATTGGTCTACTGACTGAGTTTACCCGCGCTGCCTGCCGTTCCCAACCAGGGAGGAGAAAATTCATAATGGATTCTGTGATGGTGAGTTGCCTGGCCCTGTTACAGAAAACAACGCCAAACCATTACATTTCTACCACCATGTTTTACAATTGGTATCAGTTTCTTCTGATGAAATGCTGTCTTTGAGTCTCAACAAATACGTCTTCTGGTATTGTGGCCAAATAATTTTGCTTTTGCCTTATCTTTCCAGGGGATATTGTTCTAGAAATCATAGTCTTTGCCTAAGTATTCATGAGCAAACGTTATTCTTTGCCTGATATTCTGTCTGAACAGGAAATGTTTTGGAACACGTCCCATAAAGATAATTTATGTAACTCCTTTCTAATAGTAGATGATGCATTTTGACATCAATAGTGTTGAGAGTTACATGTGGGTCATGTCCTGAAATTCTGGGCACCTTAAAGACTTCTTTCAGCATCTTGCATTCTGCTGCCTTGCTAGGACTTCCTGGTTTGGACAAGTTGGCAGTTGTTTGAAATCTACTCCATTTGTAGATAATCTTCTAGACAGTGGAATGATTGATGTCTTGTTGTTTGACAATCTTTTAAAATTCCTTCCCAGACTCATAGGTATCTGTTTGTGAAGGCTTCAGAGAGCTCTTTTGATCTAGGCATGGTGTGATATCACACACTTCAACAATAAAGAGCAGATCAAGCTAAATGTTTGAGGTTTAAAGACAGTTTCTCAGATCTTTTCTAACAATGTTCTAATCATCTGGTGCACCTGATTCTAATTTTAGGTATTTGAAGTAGTGAGAAATGTAGAATATCCTTTTTCGATGTGTGAAATTTGCATTAGTGTTTATTTAAATTACACAGTGGACTATAAAATGTAAATGGCATATGATATTTATATTATACAGTACTGTATTCCCTTTGGTTGAAATGAAGATCAGATATTTACATATTAAAATAGATGAAAAAGTGAAACATTTCAATGGGGTGTACTTACTTTTTCACATGAGTGTAGATACAACAGACTGTTTTACTTCTCTTTAGTTCTGTTTTTTTTTTTTTAGTACCCATCTTTCTTCTCCTACCAGCTTTTAGATGCAAAATGTTAAGAGTCTGCCATCCTTCAATACCATTGAACTAAAAGCAACAAGGATCCTTCACAATTGGGTCAATGAAATAATTTGCATGTAATGCAAGCACAAACAAGGGAACAACTTCATAAAAGAAGGGAAGGAAAAAAGAAAGGGAGTAGTGAACTGAGAAAAATGACCCAGATCACTGTTTTTTAAAATGTATCTGTAAAAGGCAGCTTTTGTAAAAATATATATTTTGTAACTGCCACCTGTTTTAATGTGACTGAGCATTTCATTACACATTTTAGATTTTACTTGCTCTTTTTCTTGTTTTCAGAAAAAGATTTTTGTTGCTCAGATGATGTGGATTTTTTTGTTTGCTTGTATGTCCCAAGGCTATATGTGTCACAGAAAACAAATATAGAAATGGAATATTTTTTATTATTCCTACTTGTGTGCTAGCTCTGAGCATGCTTTCTATTCGGGGAGGGGAACCATTTTTTTCTCCTCCTTTGAAAACCCCACTCTTCTCAAAATGGAGAATTGCAAATGTTGATGGCAAGGACAGATGATGCAAGACATTAATAGTTCCGCCCATTTTCTTGTCCTCATGTTTCTCTGTTCCCACTTAACAAACTGCTGCCAAACAAATATATAATTTTAAATTATATGATCTATCTCGATTTATTGATTGCAGAGCATTTCTTCTTGCTTTTCTTCTGGCCATTTTAGTCTCCTTGTCTTATCTCCCCCCCCCGGCCCGGTATTTTTTCTACATACCTGCTCTACAATCCCAATATTCTCTCCACACTCTTGCATTGCAAAGACAGTATGTACCATGCATATCTATAGAATTGGGATTCTTATTTCTGTCTTCTTGACTAATCTAAGAAATTGCAGTGAGGATTACTATAGTCGTTCTGGAAAGAATATATTTATTAAACTTTGATGGGTTAATAGTTGACTAACTACCAGCCTGCTAGGCAGTTTACCTTCAGGGCAGCTAGGAGTGACAAGCATTCATATATACTACTACTACATTTATGTTGGAAGCATCTATCAAGGCACTTCTGGGTTGAAAGGATTAGCTGGTGACATCACAGTTGCCAGGGAATGCCTGAGGGTGCTCCTTTCATGTCCCTGTTATTTTCCCACCAAAGTGGTACCTATCTACTTGCATTTGCATGCTTTCGAATTACTACCCTGTTTGCCCGAAAATAAGATATCCCCTGATAATAAGCCCAATCGGGCTTTTGAGTGCATGCGCTAAAATAAGCTCCCCCCCGAAAATAAGCCCTCCCTGAAAATATTTAAACACAGAGCTGGAAATCAGGTAAGACTGCAAGAGGAGCCCTATCTTGTTCTTGTTCCACGCACCCTAAAATAATAAGACCTCGCCAAAAATAAGGTCAAGCGCTTATTTTGGGGTTCAAAAAATATAAGACAGGGTCTTATTTTCAGGAAAACACGATAGGTGGGCAGGAGATGGGGCAAATTGACAGGAGCTCATTCTGTCATGCAGCTCACTCTCGGGTTTTGAACTGCGGAGCTGTCAACCTCTCAACGGTCTTTTGACTCAGTGTCCTAACTACGAGTCGCTGCGGCCCCCATCCATATATAGAAAAAGTACATTCATTTGGATGATAGTACTGGCTAAGTTTTGAGAGAAATTCATTTAGCAATTACTTGGAAAGATGCTGAAAAAAAAAATAACACCAAAGTATAGTGTCCCAGTTTCTGGGATGTCCATTTCAGGTTTTCTACTTGCTTCATTAACTCTTTTCTTTTTTGTGGCTTGTGTTTTTGTACTCAAGATGGAAACTTTGCATCTTTAATGACGATATTGTCATAAAGTGCTTCCATTCTTTTCTTATCAGACGTGCAATTAATATCTAATTGGATTTTGCAAAGCCAGTCATTGTAATATCATACACGAGGGACAGGGCTTAATTAAAATAAGCAGAGGATTCATTTTATCTAAATTTCAGTTCCTTTTTTTCAATTAATCCAAAATGGTCAGCGGCTAATGTTTTGTAAAATTCATATTATGTTCAGCATCTTTTCAACTGTCTGTTTTTTCAAATATCCAACACTTGTTTGCAAAGTGTTGGATATTTTATAATCATTATTTGTAGGATATATGTGAAAAAAGTCTTACTGTGTGATCTTTTTTTTTATTCTTGTTAACTCTGAATAGTAGTTTCAGTTCCAAATTATGAACTTATGTGCATAAATTAAATTCTTCCTAGTATTAACTAAGATTAAGACTAGCGATAACCCTGCAACCTTTAATGTACCTGATGGGTTTCCCTTCCTGTAGTTTATTTTATTTTATTTATTTATATGGCCAGCCACCTCAACAAGTGACTCTAGGTGGTGAACAAAATTAGAAATAAAATAAAAACAATTACAATAATACAAATATTAAAATACATAAGAATATATGATATACCATAATCACTAATATAACCAAGAAAAAAGTCACTGCACTCAGTTGGGGCCTAAATTTTCCATTCAGGTTTCGATGGCATGCAGCTCCTTCATTTTAGAAAAAATATCATTCTTTAAAGGTATAGCTACAAATTTAAGATGCTCCTATTTAGCCATAGTTTAATCAAAGTCACTTAGCCATATGATTCATCTCTTAGTAAAAGCAAATTGAAATTAAATTGGTCTAATAAATGGCAAAATTAAAAATGCATTTGTTTTGTTGTGTGCTTTGTTTTGACAGAGAGGGCTATTGCAAAACACGAAGTTCGGGAAATAGAGCAACGCCATACAGTAGATGGCTCTCGATCAGATCTTATCCCAGTTGAAGATGATGATGTAGTGATCATTTACAATCGAGTACCTAAAACTGCAAGTACATCTTTCACAAACATTGCATATGATCTTTGTGCGAAGAATAAGTATCATGTTCTTCATATCAACACAACCAAAAACAATCCTGTTATGTCTCTACAAGATCAGGTAAGTTACCATAGTTAAGATATTACATTCTGTGTTGCTCATTAATCTTTCTTATGATTTTTCTCTATCAATCATACAACATTGTGTGTGAGGTGATGTCTCATTCCTAGCTAAATATAGGTTCTAATAAAATCCTGACTCTGAATTAGAGTGGAAGTTTTCATATCTGATTTATCTTAAATTTTAATTTCATTGAACTTAAATTTGAATAAAGGCAAAGGTAGGTATGATATATGGTTAAACCATTATAGGTATTTGTTGTGTGGTAAATTAGGGCAGTCTCTCATTGTTTAAAACAGAATTAACTTTTCTTCTTCTCCTTCTGTATTTTCTACATCAGTTGGTCATTCTTTCCTTTTCATATCAGATACAGCTTCTTGCCTTTTTAGTGGCTTAAACCTTTATTTCCATTGTTTGTTCATAACTGGGTCATATCTTTTTTTCCATACAAATCTCTTGATGGACTCCACTGATTCATATTCACATCATTTTCCAGCTTCTCTCTTAGTCTTATTACCCTTCGGCCTTCTTTTTCAAAATTTTAGAAGAATAATTGGCTTAATAATGCTAACCATATAATGTCCCTTTATGTGCTATCAAGGGTAGCAAAAAAAGGATTATCTGATTTATGGCTGATCAAGAAGAACTTTATTAAGGCAAGTTTTATGTTCACAGAAATATGCTGAACTACTATTTTTTGCCTAAATATGTATTGCACACCTGGGAATCTCAGCAGTTCCCCAGAAAACCAGGTTGGCAACATATTTTGCTCAAATCTCAATATGTATGTGTAATGAAATCATACATCATTAAAGTCAAATGTTGCACTTGTTCTTTATCATATTTGTCAGCAATTTTGAAATTTGTAATCTATTTTATTCTCTCATGTTTTTCTGAGCATATGTGATTCTTTGTACCTCAGATAATTTTTGAAGCTCCCAATTTTCACTTTTTTCCCTGTAGGATTTCTGATTCCTTTTCTCTGTCAAGATACATTTATACTATCTTTCACTTCTAAAAAAAACTCATCTGGGTTGAAAATGTAAAACAGTTTGAATATGCCAGAAATTCAAAAATAGATTTTGAATACTTTCTTTTTAAGTATCAGGAAAAAATGTTCTGCAGAAATCCTTTTATATTTTTTGACCTTCCTAAATAAATTTTTTTTTAAAAAAAAACTCCAGTTCAAACACTCCTCCAAAGCAAAAACAAACGTGTGTGTGTGTGTGTGTGTGATAACTTTTGTAACAATATGAAAGAGAAGTAGAGGTGAAAATACTTACAGAGTTTCATATGATCCTGAATAATTGATGACAAATGAATATTCTCTGTTCATGAAAGGCTTTGGCATCAAATATAGTGATACCAACATACATTAATTGTTACTTCAGTTACTTACTACTGCAAGATAATAGACAAAAATTTTAGTATAAAAAGCCCTACAGGTAAGGTCTTTTGTGCTTACCTGCCATATGGTAGATTTTCCCTAGAAAAGGTATTAAGAATGTTGAATGATCAGTTTAATATTTGCTCTAGTTTATTTTCCTGGGATTTTTTTATTCAACATGCAGATACTGGATGAGGTGGAGTTTGAATAACAACATAGCACAGTCTTTTTTAAAAAAAGTCACACACATTAGTATTCATGGTCTTTGTACTTAAACTGCTTGGATTCACTTGGGAACTGATACTGCATGAGTCTATTGAATCTGAAATAATAATAATTGGCAGAATCTGTGACCTCTTGGACCTTGAGATTTGATTAGTATTTTTCATATTTATCTAGCTTGTCAGATTTGGAATGTTTGGAGTATCATTGCTATGTCTAGATCTTATAGGTCAATTGTAGGATAGGTTTTCACTATCCAGTAGGCCTATTGTAGCCCATATTGTTTAATTCATATTTAAGACATTCAAAAATCTATCATTCTAATAAATATAAACTAAATAGTTAAATTTAAGAGACGTGTGACAGTATTTAATTAAAAAAAAAATTCTGAAGCACTACACCAGGGGTGTCAAACTCATGGCCTGCGGTCCAGATGCGTCACGTGCTGGCCTCACCCGGTTTAGCGAAGGGGAAAAAAGTCCTGATACGTCACGTGAAGCTGCCGTGATGCCGCATGTTTGACACCCCTGCACTACACTGACTGTTCACTCAAACATTGGGAATAAACATCCACTCTATGTCTTTGCAATAAACTAGAAGAGTCCTTTAGAGCTGGAGATTATATTTCTAACAATTTCTTGCATTTTTGATAGCAACATTAAATATATATATTTAACTTGTATGATAAGCTTTGAACTGTTTGCAGCAGCCTATGGAATGAAGAATTTTGTTTAGGCTTTTTTATTTTTATTTTATTTTTGTAGCAGATTATGATGGCTACAGATAATCCTCGACTTATGACAATAATGGAGCCTGCCCATTCATGTCGGACATCTAGGAATATGTTAAATGAAGTGCATAATGAATGATCTCCCTGTCGCTGCTTTCCCCAATGCACAGGTCATTAGGTAGAACATGGGGTGACTCAGGGGTGGGGGAAACCATGGGAGGCCTAGTGCAGGCATACATGCATTGGGGAGGACTTCCCCAACTTCTGAGATATCCCATGGTCTGCCTCCTGCTCCTCCCCAAAGACCTATGGCCCTCCTCCATACGTCACTCCATTGCAACTGCACACTTCCTTTTGAAGATATCCAGAGCTCAGGAAGTTGGAGTAGAGAAGACTACTCCCTTGCTAGGCGATTGTTGGGCCACATGACACAATTGAGAAGAGATCCTGCTGGTTTTGCTTCCCTCAAAATCCTTTCCTCCCCAGTGCCAGCCGCGCTAGCTTTACGCTAGTGTGGCTGGCGTTTAGAGAATTAAGTAATCATGCTGATTTTGGTCTCTTGCAATCCTTTCCTCTCCAGCCAGCATAAATTGGCATGATTTCTTCTTATCTCCCCAAATGCCAGCGTAGGGCTAGTGTTATGCTGACTGAGGAGGAAAGGACCAAATGGATCATAATCAGCACAATTCCATCTTGGTTCTCTAAATGCCAGCTATTTTAGTGTAAGGCCTTAATGCTGGCATTCAGGGAGCTAAGGGTGGCCCAAAATCTTCTTAACTCCCCAAACTCCAGCCATGCTAGTGTAAAGCTAATGTGGCTGGCGCTGGGGATGGAAGGATTGTGAGAGGAGGAAAACCAGCAGGATTTCTTTTCAATTGTGCCATATGGCCCAGCAATGGGCCCAGCAAGGGAGCGGCCTTCTAACCTGACTTCCTGAATTCTGGATATCTTCGAAAGATAAGTAAGCAAATGGTGACAAGGTCGGTGGGTAAGAGTGAGTGGAACCTGGTATGGTGGGAAAGCCCAGTACCTCTGAGGGCCTGATGGGGCAGGCGAGATAGTGATAGGTAGGAGGGCATGAGCAGTGTCTCTGTTGTCGGTCGTAAGTGTGAATGACCGCGGGGGGACTGCTGGGGTGTGTGTTGAAAGGATTCATATTTAGATTTCTTTTTTGAGGGGGTTGTAACTTCAAATGTTCATTAAATGGCCTGTTATGCCTCAGTTATCTATATTTTGTAGGATACATTTGATGTTATATCGGAGTTTGCGATACTTTGTAGAGAGTAATTAAATAAAATTTGGTTTCTGTATCATATATTTCTGTTCAATTTGACATAGCATAGAGACATAGCTATTGCTACTATGCCAAAACAGAATCGAATTTGCATTTAAATGGCTGCTAAATTTCTGCCTCTTTAGAAAATCACAAATGGCAAAAAAAATATTTCCTTGCCTCCTAAAGGAATACTTTTGGTCAGGATGTTGGGGAGATAGAATTCAATTTTCTTTATTATCCTACATGTTTTATTCTCCCTCTCCCTCCCTCCCTCCCTCCCCCTCTCTCTTCTGATATCTATGTTGTGTTATTAATGAGTATGCTTAATTCTCATTGTGCTAGGTATGGTTTTTATCTCTAGAGTTTTATGATCATTTGTGTGTGTGGGGGGGTACTTTCTCAAACTTTCCAATTCTTCTGAGCAAGTAGCTGATTCTTTTGTTAATAACCCTGGGAATTGGCACTTGAATTTAGTATTGGAATGTAATAATCCCCATTTTATATTGACTTGACAATTGTGTCTGTGTGTATTGGCTAAAGCAATCTCCTCCAAAGGTCAAGATGCAGCTTACTTCAGATGTTTGGTATTCTCTTGGCAATAGCTAAAGTCATTTTGTCAGACAACTCTGAGAAATTCCAGCAACCATGAACACTGCGTTAGGAATGTTGTTTTAGAAATATCATTATATATTATCTTGATAAATTATGAGAATAACACAGATATGTCTGCTTTATCTTATTTCTTTTCCATTACAGTTTGAACTGTAACTTCTGTACTACTTCTGAAAGTACAAGATTAGATTATTACAGATACTGATTTTCATGTTTATCAATTTTTGTCCACGTTTCACTCTGTCGCTTTCCAAATTATGTATTTCTGTGCACACTGTTGTAGCTTTTTCAAAAAGACCAATACTAGGTCTCTGTGCAGATAGTAGGAAAGTCTCAAGCAGCATGGTAGCTGCTTCAATGCTTTGAGAACAGATCCTTTGTTTACACTAGCAAACACCATTTTCAAATACTTGCAATAATCCTAATATATTGTAATTTCCAAGTTGGAACTTCAGGTCTATGGACTAGAATGAGACCTTGAAGAACATTTCTGTGATATTGCCAAGAAAATTAATTGAAGTTGCCAGGAATTGAGCCTGATTTGGAGATTTTACTCTTATCTGTACTTACCAGTGTCTCATAGTGTCAGTGTAAAATTCGTGCAGTCTAGTTATGAAAGAAAGGACCTAAATATAACATTTAAAATAATAAATATATGCATTGACTAATAATTATAGCAAAGTCTGTTCAAAGTATTATTATAGAATATGAAATAAAAGATATTCCTGGTTAAAATCTTAGCCATGTTTAGCATATCTCAATGTTTTCAGCTATCTGTCCATAATAAATACTGATGATGCTGGCTCATCCTTGAATTCCTTGAATTTCTGGAAGATATAAAATAGAATAAATTTTATAATGAATACATACATACATACATACATACATACATACATACATACATACATACATACATACATTGTTTTGTAAAACATTAAAAAATTTCCCTTTTTCTTGTAGGTACGTTTTGTGAAGAACATAACTTCATGGAAAGAAATGAAACCAGGATTTTATCATGGACATGTATCTTTCTTGGATTTTGCAAAGTAAGCTATGCAACAAATAATTCAATTTGCACCCATTTGAGCTTGAATAATTCTTTATCCTTTGAAATTTTCATAATATAACAGCAGTTCATGATTCACTTTAGTTTGTACTGCCCTCTAATGGTGAAGATCAGAAATTGCACTGTACAGAGAATTGCAAATACCAGTTTTCTCCTTCCAGTTTTATTTCTCTCTGCCTCAACCTCCTCTTTCATTTTCTTAACATATCCTTGCCCTGTTCAGACTTTTGGTGACAAGAATATATTAAATGTTGCCTGTATTAAAAGAGCAAGTGATACACATTGATATATCTGAATAGTCAGAGAAATTAAGTCAGAGATATTATTTTTCCTGATAGTTAAATCTTGAATGTGTGTATATATGTATGTGTGCGCGCGTGTGTGTGTATATATCCCTATCATAAAGACAAGTAAGAATGATTTTAATAACTTATTTTCTCTTAACATTTCAACAAAGGATCTCTCTTCCTATATCTCAAGAGAATAACCAAGTTGTAAAGCATCATCATTCACTCCTAATCAATAAAAGTCCATTAAAATTTATCAGAAATAAGAAGGTATATATTTAACCTTAAGTAAGTAAATAAGTTTCATATTCCTTTCTTTTCCTTTTTACATAGTAACTTATTTTCTCTAAAACTGCAACAAAATATCTCTTCTTCCCATATACATTCCACATCTTCCTAATATATTTTAACAGGATTTTAAACATAAGAAGGATTCTTATAATTTCAAAATCTCATTTTCAATCCATCTGGCCCCTTAGTAACTTTCTAAAATCAATGTTTTAATTATCTTTTTGCTGTTTATTTCAAAACAATTTATTCAAAGTTGTTAAACTTACATGAAATTTCTTTACCTGTGGATTGAAGGAGAAACAGTAGGTTCAATGTTGAAACTTGTCATTCTGAAAGTTCTTAATAGTCCCAAAGCAGTTAATAAACAATTTCCAGAAATGATTAAGAAAGGAGAAAGGAGCATTCAAGTGAACCCAGTGTCCACTTGAATACTCTCGACCATGGCTTGGGCAAAGCTGAGTTTCTTTTGGCTCCAGGAACTCTCAAACCTGCTAGAGGCCATTGTTCTGCAGTTTCCTTACAAGGAACTTGTAAGAGTATAGAGCACTTAAGGGCAATCCCAGGTTCTCCCCTTTATCTGGAGAGGAATTTCAAAGCCCTAATTTATTTGCCAATTCCTTGTTCCATTGCAGTCATTGGAGCTTCTCCAGAAGTCTAAATTTTGTTTATTTTACAAGTGGTATTAAACTATTGTCCCATCCTCAAATGTTAGGACTGGCTGCCTATTCCCCTTAAAGGATTTCTGAGTGGAAGTGGATATTGTGAAAAACCTCAGGTGCTCCAGACTTGTGGCTAAAAAAATTTATAGAAATGAAATGGTTAGTTCTCCTGAAAGCTCCCAGGAGTGGCCAAGGATGGGTTGATTCGTCCGTTTCCTGTTGAGACCGAGCTGTCAATTTCTTTTGGGCCCCCATAAATGGTACTTAAGTGTAACATTCCAATTACGGGAAGAGAACCTCTCTCTAAAGGTCAGTGGTCAGCTGTTTAAATCTACAGGATAGGCAATAATAGTATTACTTCAGTGACATCAGATTCTCTTTCTTTTGACAAATATTACTTCGACACTACAATGCCTAATTTTCCATTAACTTACAGTCTTGCTGACTCAAAGTTTGGCAGTTATGCTCCAAATACATTTGGATAGCATAAGGTGGAATATGTGTGCAGTCCATTCTCTGAGTCAAAACAATAAATGTCTACTTATATGCTAGTTAACCTCTTGCTGTATCTTGTATAAAGCAGTTTCCCCTAAAACTTGTGTATTGAGCAATTGAAATAGATTGCAGGGGATAAGCACTGTTGCTTGGGTTCCTCTATACCCCACAGGTTTTTGCTGCTTTTATCAGAGTGATTAAAGCAGAATAGCATTGGGCCAGAAACTCCACACCTTAGGGTGGGTGCATGGCATGCAACACACATAGAAAAAAGGGTAGGGTTTGCATTGCAGTGCTGCAACACAACTTGCATCATTTTGGGACCCCCTGATCCCTCCACAGATGCTTGTCTGTACTCTGACAATGTTTGAAGCAGAGGACTGGCATATAACATCTGAGTATGATCTATTTTCTAGTGCATGAAAATTTCTGTTTGAACATTTGTTTTAACAATGGTAGGCATATAGGTTGAATATGATAGATTTTTCATATTTTCTTCAGATCCTTCTGCTTATAGCAATAGCAATAGCACTTAGACATACAGCACTCTCTGAGTGATTTACGAATGTCAGCATATTGACCCTAATAATCTGGGTCGTCATTTTACCAACCTCGGAAGGATGGGAGTCTGAGTCAACTCTGAGCCGGTCAGGACTGAACTGCTGGCAATTGGCAGAATATGCCTTCAATATTGCATTCTAATCACTCTTCCATCACGGCTCCTATATGTTGTAGTCTTTGTTTAATTCTCAATTTTGCTTAACCTTGAAAGCATGGTAACCTTGAAAGCTTTTAAAACAAGTTAAGAAAAAGCATCTCTGTGTGTATGTGTATTTATGTGTCTCTGTCCCTATATTTTCTCTGTTTTATTTGGTAATTATATAAAAATGGCAACCTACAAAAAGTTTATATTATATATACTAATGAAACATAGTATCACATAATGCTGCAGTCAACAATGGCAAAGTTGAAATATTACATACCAAAAAAGAGCTGCCTACTCTCAGTCTCAAAGAAGAAACCTGAGTATAAAATTACCTCATTTTTCCAAATTCAGAAGTGTAACATACTGTATTAATGCATCTCTTTTGTTGAATATGTAATGAAATAATAACCTTTTGAACATCTGCATAAGCATTTATTCACAATATCACAATTAACATTTATAGGCATACTTTCCCCAGGATTGTCTTATACTTGTTTTTTCATTTGTTAAATGACTGTGCCTGCCCTCTAAATAATGTTAAGTTTCTGACTAACGATCCCAGGCAAACCAGACTTCCTAGGCCACTTGTTTCCTCAAAGAACTTCTTTATTGGGTACATCATATCGGTACGCTTAGTAGAAAACCAACTCTGAATCTTTCCTGTGGTTTTAGCATAATTAAAGCCAGCAATAACCCCCTGGTCAATGGTTATGTTGGCCAATTAGATTAATTGGTGGGCTCCCATCACCTGAGAGATGACCTTGGTTCCCACAAGAAAGATCTATGTTGTGTCTAGCAAGGCATTCCAACCTCCTCCTCCCTCCTGTAGTGTGTGAACTAGGAAAATGGCTTCTGCCAGGTTTAGTTCGGCGTTGACAAATAGCTTATTTTCTTATATTTGTGATTTTGGTTTTTAAAATAATAGTGCAGTATTTGCTCTTCTTGAGTAACATATGGTATGGTATGATGTTCTTTGAGAGGAGAAATATACAGTCTCTGAATACTGTTTATTTATCTTCCTTAGTAAATTCTCCCCTAGTGCTTTGATTCAATATGCACTCATACAAAATTAAAATGAAGTTTAAAAGTTTTGCAACAGCTGCGGTAAAATATATTGTAGAAAATTTATCAAAGAGGATAATGAGTTGATATGTACAAGAACTTTTTTTTTTTTTAAATCAGTTTTGTTGCTTTCATGTTCTTTGAAATATAACTATTCAGTACTGACTTACTGATACGATTCTCTTTGTGTTTAAATTTTAATCGTGATTGAATTCTAAGAGATCTTGATATCTTCTGGGCCTCTTTCATAACAGTACTGATTCATCTCTCCCATCTACTGAAGAAAGCCAAACCTCTTCTTTTCTGTGTTGGCTGTATACATTCATAGATGACATAAAAAACATATGTTAGACTGTTCCTCCCCTAAGAGGACATAAAGTATAGGAGGAATTAATTGTAGCAATAAGTTTCCCTTCTGCTCCTCTTTCCTGAGCGTTGCCTTCCCACGTGCAGAGCTGGAGCTGGCACTTCCGCTTGAGTCAAGCAATGGGAAATATGAATTGAGAAACATGTTCAAGAGAGACCTTAATTCTTCTCTTTTTCCTTCGCTACAAAAGAAGGTTTAGTCTTAGAATATATTTGTTGCATTTACACCATGCGACAAATTCTAGTATGAACAAAAGAATAAATGTAGTAGAAGCACTTAATACATACAACAAAATCAAAAGATGGTCTGCTCTTGACTCTTTTGGGCCTGCACAGTTTTGTGGCCACTGTTAAGCTTACTGCAAAGCATTTAAAACTTTCCCCATTTCTTGTGGGAAATGGTGAACTCTATTAGAAATGTCCAAGATATAAGCTAATTTTGAGAAATTTTGCAGAACAGATTCTAAAAGGGCCATTTAGGTTAAAAAAAATCCAATTTGCTGTTTAGTATATCCAGTTAGATTATAATATAACTTCCACTTTAGCACACCCCTATCCAGGGGTGAAATGCTTCCGGTTCAGACCGGATTGCCCGATCTGGTAGCGATGGAAGCAGGTGGTTCAGAGAACCAGTAGCAAAAATCCCTGCCCCCCCCCATGCCTAGCTGAGCCGCACAACCATCAGAGGCTTTTTCTTTTAATTTTTAAAAGCATTTTTTCTACAACCTCTTTGGCCAAAAAAATGCTTTTAAACAAAAAAAAAAAAAAAAAGCCTCTGATGATCGCGCGGCTCAGCTGGGATTGTCAAAGGGATTGTCAGCTGATGATCCCAGCTGAGTTGCCTGATTGGCAGAGGCTTTTTTTCTTTTAAAAGCCTCTGATGATCCAAGCTGAGTTGCCTGATCGGCAGAGGTTTTTTTTTCTTTTAAAAGCCTCTGATGATCCAAACTGAGTTGCCTAATCAGCAGAGGCTTTTTTTCTTTTAAATGCCTCTGACGATCCAAGCTGAGTTGCCTGATCGGAGAGGCTTTTAAACGAAAAAAGCCTCTGCCGATCAGGCAACTCAGCTGGGATCGTCAGAGCCTTTTGAAAGCATTTTTTTACAACCTCTTTTGCTGAAGAGGTTGTAGAAAAAATGGTTTTAAAAGAAAAAAAAATGGCCACTGCCCCCCAGTCACATTATCCCCCCCCACTAAGCCACGCCCACAGAACCGGTAGTAACAAATTTTAGATTTCACCACCGCCCCTATCCTATATTCTGAGGCAATGGAAGACAGTTCATGGCCATTCTTCTTGCAATTATTTTCCCCAGTGGGAAATGGGGACAGGCCTTCTCCCAGTCTCACCACGCCTGGGCCCTCTGTCCAGCGCTTTGCTTAATGACTGTACAGTCACTTAACAACTGTAACTGGAAGAGCTAGGATTGTGGTAATTGAGCAAAGTAGCCTCGCCTCTCGTTTAATGACCACGTCACTCAACAACCAAGATTCTGGGTTCAACTACTGTTGTAAGTGGAAGACTACCTGTATGCACGATATAATGAAAGCTTTATTTTGTACTAAGTTCTGCCTTGAGCACAAAAACAGTTGGATGACCTTAGACCAGACACTTACACTCTCTGCCCTAGGAGGGAGACTACTGCCGCAAACTTGCCTAGAAATTGCAGGGACTTATCCAGGCAGTCATAAGAGTCAAAGACTTGCACACAAAGAAACACAGACATTTTCACAAGAACATTATATAAATTCCTTAAGAGAAGCTGCTAATGAAAGAATACAATTATTTTGCTCAATCCAATCCTATTGGGTTTCTCCTCTGTTGAATATAGCTAATTTTTCCAGCTTTCAGTATTCATCAAGCTTAATTATCATTTCTGCAACAATCTTTTAAAAGGCAGGACTTTATCAAATTTATTTAATATTTATTTAAAAGTAGGACTTTTATCAAACCACAAACTATTTCTGAGCACCTCCGTCACCCTCATACCTTTCCTCCATCTGGTCATTAGAGTAATCCCAGCTGCATTATCTTCTTTGTTGCAAAGTATAGTTTTAAAAGGTTGCATCTGTTGGAAGCAGAAGTACCAGACAAGGCTTCTGCTGATAATACTTGTTAGACAAAATAAACTGAGTATCTATATGTAAATATCAAATATGCATGTTTAGAATCCACCGAAATGGAATGTATTAGGATAAGGTCTGGTGACTTTCCTTTGAAAACTATCTCGACTGTGAACCTTCTTAAAAGACCCTTGAAATGGAAAACGTATTGTCTGCTTATTGTTTTTTCCTGAATTCATTAATATGGGGGGAGAGGAACACTCTTTTGAAATAAACTTGATACCAGATCCATTTTTACATCATGCAGGAAACGCTTTGATTTGTCAATTGGATTATCTTTTCTGTTTCAGATTTGGTGTTAAAAAGAAACCAATATACATCAATGTCATAAGAGATCCTATAGAACGGCTGGTTTCTTATTATTACTTCCTGCGCTTTGGTGATGATTACAGGCCTGGACTCCGAAGGCGAAAGCAAGGGGATAAAAAAGTAAAAGTATATCTTGTTCACTTTCTTTGTGGTTTAGTTTTAACTATGTAATTTATGAACTAAATGAAAAACATAAGACAATAATGTTCAAAACCAAAATTGGAGGAAAAGTTCTCATTCCATTCACAAGAGTTTTCTGTGAAATTTTTTGATCTTTTAAAAACATCTGTTCATGAGAGCAGGAATGAGCTTTTTTTTTTTAAAGTACTCCTCCATATATTTCTTTTGTTATTTCCCCATAATCCTTTATTGAAGATCTTAGGTTGGCTATCTCATGTTAGAAGTTTCTGCTGTTAATTGTGAACATACTTGCTTGTCCAGCTCTTTCCTGGATTTCTTAGCTTTACCTTTTCACCTGCTGACAAGTAAAGATGTATAGACTAACTGAAGGTATCTTTCACAAGCATCTGTAGCATAAGAAGTTTTATCAAAACGATAGAAGTAAAGAAGTAGCACAATACAATCCTTGTCCCTTTTATATGTGTGGGCACTGTAATGAAGCATGCACAAAAGAGATGGAGTTTACACAGTGCAACACTACTTTGGTTATTGGGCCTCCGTCAAGGACATTTCTGATATCTTCTCCTCTCTGAGCAAATATCTGAATGCTTCATACTATGAGCAAAGTGCAGTCTGTTAAGAATTGTGTGAAGATCCTTAATTGTTCGGCATTAACCTGAGTCTGGCGGGATAATATTACAACCAGTTAATGCTGAATGATAAAATGTTTGCCATGTATTACAGAGAGCCATGGACTGGAATTCTTCAAACTGCAAGTAACATAGTCATCCATTCCCAGTATAATATTTCATACTTTAGGGTTGAATATTATGAGACATTATCACTATCATCACAGAACGAAATTAGATTAAACTGTTGGAGCCACAAGTATAGGTAATTCAGCCAGGAAATATGAAACAAAGTACAGAAGAGATTTTATTCCTGCCCCATTTTTGTGCAGTCCCAATTAGTTGAGCCTTCTTCATCTATTTTTCATAACTACTGTATGTGAAGCAGTGTACATAGAGTATGTGTATACTGATAATACTCCTGCTATTTAGATATACAAAACATGGATTGTGTAAATCCATAGGTACCCTCAACTGGGTCTTCATGTTATATTACGGAAACACACTATAGCAATCCATGGATCCATTTCAGCCAGACTGCTTGTGTCTTCCTTTTGCTTTGGTGCCATGTTAACTGTATTCAGGAGATGCCTTTTCCTTTAAGCCAGATGCAGTCTACTTATGAGATTCTTTATTATAGCATTACTTGGAGAATTCAGCCTAGAGGCCGTACACTTGCTATAATGCCTAAAGAGTTTCTTAGCAAGAAGGAAGCTGGTTGTGATCCAGTTGATCAGTCAGCTCTAACTAATGTTGTCTTAAAATCTCTTCCTGACCACACATTTTTTGCTGATGTACACTTGTACTTGTTTTGTGGTAATCATATCACGCCCTCTGTGCTACTTGGATTTTGCATTCGTTATAAAGCATGAATTGTTCTGCAATATTTGTTTGGATTCTGCTCCAGTAGTATTAGAAAGTACTAAGTAATTAACTTTTGTGTAGGAGGATTCAGAACTTTCATAATTAGCCCAATCTACTGCAGCCGCAGTAACAATGGTATAATTTGATTACTAACAGGCAATTTTTTAAATCAACAAATATAATACATTCAAATTGATTCCTGCTAATATAAAATAAACCATTTTTACAATTAACACATTTTGTCCATATTCCCAGGAGCCATTTTAACTTTCATTTCTAGTTTTTTTCTGTTCTCTCTGCAGATAACATTTGCTTCTCAAGTGTCTGTATCATTGAAATGGTATCTGCAATTGGAACCCAGTAGAGCTTGACTTGCAAGCATAGAATATAATAGATTTTTTTTTTATTGACCAAGTGTGATTGGACACACAAGGAATTTGTCTTGGTGCTTATGCTCTCAGTGTACATAAAAGAAAAGTTGTTATAGGCAGACACAGTTGTATAAATGAGACTTTTTGTTATTGTTCTTATATCCCTTATTTAATAATATGACCACATTGAAAAGTTTCATATGCAAGAAAGAAGTTTATATCTTCTGAGTTTCTTTGGGGGTTTTTTTCTCTAGACCTTTGATGAATGTGTAGCAGCTGGAGGCTCAGATTGTGCTCCGGAGAAACTCTGGCTTCAAATACCATTTTTCTGTGGGCATAGCTCTGAATGCTGGTAAGAATATGACCCTATAGAAGATATTTATCCTTCATTATATTATATTGATTAAACTAATGAGAATGGGTACCAGAAATTTAAATTCAGGCTACTGATGGTGCTGATGATGGTGAGCCTTAATTAACAAAAGTAGCTCATCTTCCAAGGAGTAAAATTTTAGAGAATTGTGCACCATTTTCAAATTAAACTGTCCCTTTCCTTTCTAAACTTCATGTCAATGATTGACTATCCCGATTAAAAACTGTTTAAGAGGAGGTGGGGATTTTGGTATTGGCTTTAACAAGTATTTGTCCAAAGGAGCTAAGCTTATTTTTCATTTTCACTGTTAGAAATAGGCACAATTGAATTGTGTTTTAAAAAACTTACTGCACTGTGAATTTATCAGTGAGGAAAAAAAGGAGTAAACAAGAGGAGTTTGTCATGATAATGTCCCAAACATATAGTGTCTGGAGGTCACTTCAAGTATAGCCAATTTCCAGTAGTGTTTTTGTATGTAAATGTGTTGATGATAATTTCTTTAGACAACTTATTCAGTGCCAAGGCATGAGCAACTACTCATGTCATCTGAATGCTTAATAATTTTTTTAAAGAATGGAATATAGAATATTCTTTATTGACCAAGTGTGTTTGGACACACAAGGAATTTGTCTCCGGTGCATAAGCTCTCAGTGTACATACAAACAATGAAGTAATATAATCATAAGATACCAATAGTAGAAGCTAATAGGAAAGATGAGAAGGATAATAGAAACTCTCTTTGTTTTTGCTTATAATGTAGCCTTACTAAAATGCAAATATTCTATGGTTATTGTGGAAAACTGTTGAATAACTCAAATGTTCTCTCAATCTTTTTTTTCCTCATCAGAATCAAAATGATACTATTGGCTGTTTTAGTATAACAGCAAAACTTTCCCCTTTCCAGAACACATTTTAAAAAGGCATTTGCACCATCAAGAAGTTAGAAATCAGACCTGTAAATCTTTTGACATCTAACCTAGGCAATGAAGAGAGCTAAAAGTGGGGAGCAGAAAAAAAACCCAAAGGAAATTAAAAATGTGTGTGGCTGAAACTTTGTTTTCTTGCCTGTGCAAAGATAACAGCTTAGCCATTATTTTAGCCTGGTGTGAGAATATCTAAATGAAGGGAACCAAAATTCTTGGCAGACATCAAAACCATCCTGTAATTACTTTTTATCATTTTAGGAATGTGGGAAGCAGATGGGCTTTGGAACAAGCCAAATACAACTTGATTAATGAATATTTCCTAGTGGGAGTTACTGAAGAGCTTGAAGACTTCATTATGTTGCTGGAGGCAGCTTTGCCTCGCTTCTTCAGGGGTGCTACAGAATTATATCGAACAGGTATTTCATCACCTCTCAACTACATTATGTCTCTCTGCATGTATGCATTTCTTTTTAGGAGAAAGCACAAGGATCTTTTTGGAGATTTTCAGTATTCCGTTCCTGAAAGAATTACAAGCTCTTATGGCTGTATTATGGCTGTGCATAAAACTGAAAATGTGTTTTACGCACAGAATACACACACAGCAAATTTGCAAATTCTGCTGAATTGATTGGCTGGGGCATGATTCAGCAAAATTGAAGACCACAGCATTTTGATTGTATGGGGTTTGGGCCAAAACAAAATCTGGAGATCTATTATAGGCTGAGTAGGGCAACGTTTATGTTCCTCTCTGCTCTTCCACTACATAGTTAAGCCAGGCAACTTGACCAGCAACTGAGACTTGAGGGGCCGGATCTAGCCTGCCACCCCAAATCATCCAGCCAGTAGTCTCCCCCAAAAAATATCATGTTTGCCTGGCTCTTAAAAAAGAATTCAAGTTAGCAATTTTGTCGTAGACTGGCATAGACCCAGACTATTTTAATAAATTCTTAACAATTTGAATGGGTTATAAGTCTGTATATACATATGTGTTTATTGTATATCTGCGGAGATCTCTTCCTTCTCCCTCCATAAACATTACTTTCCCCAACCACTAGAGGCACACTGAGACACTGCAGAACACACTCTGATTTTTGGCCACATCTCCCTGTTTCCCACAAAGCATTGCATCTGTATGATTTTCCCCCAGAGAGTCCTCCCAAGTGTCAAGAGGGAAGGGTGTATGTGTGTGTGTGGCACATGGCCTCTGGCCCCTTTGCAGAAGAAGGCTTCCAGTGCTTGGTGTAAACACTAGCTCCTCACCAGTCTCTCAGTGCTTTTCTCTCTGTATTCCACTGCCTTTCCCCCCTTCCCCCTGAATCTTCCCCCTTTTCTTTCTCTAGTTACCCTTAACTGCCACTGTGCTGCTTGGTGCATGATGCATACATCTGACTTGATTGCCTTTCTGATCTCTGCACCTTCTTTCCCCTTCATATCACCTCTTAGCCTGCACCTCTTTCATTTCAACTGCCAACAGCCCATCAACATCTCTGATCTTCTGACCACCATTTTTCCCTGTCACTCTTAATTGCTGTATGCTACCCCCAATGTTGTTTGGTTTCTTGCTCTCTCTCCCCCTCTCCTCTCCCCACTCCATTCTCCAAAAGCATTTCTGCTGAAGATATATCTTTTGATTTGGGCCCAGTTGTGTGCACAGAACGTTTTGTAATTATTAGCGAGATTATAATACCGGTACCAGTGGCTTTTTCCAATTCTTCCTTTTGTATAAAACGGAATACTTATCTATCTTTTATTTTACTAGTTGCTGAAAACTAAATAAAAGATTAATGGCTTTGCCATATCCTTTTAGGCTTTGTGGGCCTAACTTTTTCATCATCATTTAAAGAGGTCTATAAATTTTCAGGGACTTAGCAGTGTATTACTGGAGAAAAGAAAGTAAAATTTTATACCTGATATTAGGAAATAGAAAATAGACCTTTAGGATTAGACTGCATTTCTAGATAGCAAATATATTGTTAGGTCTCCAGCTATATGTAACAGAGCTGTGCAGTGCTTGAGAGGGGAAAAGGTGCTTCAAAGCATGCATGTATGTCAAATTTGAAATTTGAAACACTATGTGTCAAGCTGAAAACAGTTGTTTTCTATTGGAAATGAACTGTTTTAATCCTGTTGGAAGTATCTCAAGTTTAAAACACTCCACAAATGATTGAAATGGTCTGTTCCCAGCTGAGGAGAACTGTTTTGAATTTAAACATTTTTCACACCATATTATAGGAGCCATATTTACTATTTGCTTTAACTTCATTGTAGTTTGTAGCCTGACTTTGATTATTATTTCATAATTATGGCTAGAGAGTAAAACATAAGGAGCTAGTTTTGATAGTGAGAATGTAATATATTGTACTATACACCATTCGATAGTATAGCTTATATGTTAAGTGCATATAAGTCTTATGATATATTCTTGTTTTAAGAGATATTGTAAGATAAAATATTTATATTATGACAAATGAAACCCAAACATGAATTGCTTTGGGTTTTTATTAGTTTTGTTATCAGTACTGTTGAATTTCTAATTAACTATTAATCGTGATTAAAATAGATAAATGAATGCGATGAGAAGAAATGCAGTTGTCTGCAGCCACCCCCTCTTTATGGTTTCAATAATTAAGCCCTTTAGCAATGACAAGAATACAACTCCTTTTTTGATTTTTTCCCCTTAAAGTTGGTATTCACTTCCCAAAACTTAATAAATCTTGGTCAAAATTTTGTTACTTTTCATATCCATTTAGAACCTTGCAGACTAAAAGAACAACACTGTGCATGCATTATTATTATTTCTTTTTATGGTCCATGCTGGATAGCCTGAGAATATTTATGCTATGACCCAATGAAATTGTGATTTTTTTTTTAAGGTAAAAAGTCTCATCTTAGGAAAACGACGGAGAAGAAGCTCCCCACAAAAGAAACCATTGCAAAGCTCCAGCAGTCTGAAATCTGGAAAATGGAGAATGAGTTCTATGAATTTGCTCTTGAGCAATTTCAGTTTGTCAGAGCCCATGCAGTTCGAGAAAAAGATGGAGAGCTATATATTCTGGCACAAAACTTTTTTTATGAAAAGATCTACCCCAAATCAAACTAAAGACGATGCATATTTTTAGGTTAAGAAAACAAACCTTGTGGTCACATCCTTGTTCTCAGCACCAATTTGTAGATGATTGATAAATCCACTGAAGTGCTTTGATCTTGAGCTCGATAGAGTGCACTGTATGTCGCTGGAAGAAGATAGCTGAAGACTAGACGTTGATCACCTCTAAGTTTAAACTTCAGTTTCTTTAATATTCTAAAAGAAGGTTATTACTTAGACCTTGCACAAAGATTTACAGAAATTAAGCACATATCAGTTGTAGTTGAAGTTTAGGTGAAAAACTTCCTTTTATTGTCTTCTTGATTCATAGGACAGCTTCTTTTACCTAATGCAGTGCAGAGAGGAGTTGGTTCAAGATCGAAATTTGGGTTGTATACACTTATGAATAATATAAATAACTGGCCGACATTTGTGCTTTGTTCTTGTGAATTCATATCACCTGACATTCGTTGGAATGTTCACCTTCTAAGAAATGATGCGGCTGGACGTGCCCGAATTTATAAATAATGGATTTTCATTTTAAGAAGTTAGAACTGGTCATCAGTGTTTTTTTAAAAAAAAATCAAAATTCTATAGTAATATTGTAAAAAGGCTGAAAATCACTCAGTGTTTCTTTAATAACTTTTGAACCTCCGTCTTACATTGGAAAAACTGTAAAGAAGTTAGGTTTTGCCTACACTTCAGTGTAAAACAGATAATGGATTCTGTATCAATGTTCCATGAATTCTTTGTATTTTTAACAACTACTGGCAAATCCATATTCTGACTCAAACAGTGAGCCTGTGGTATGGTTAGGGTTTTCCTATTTAGATACTTTTACCAGTAGAATATTTTTACTAAGGTGCTTTACAATGTGTTTTAAAGCATTGCATTTGCAAAAGGAGGAAACAGCTGTAAATAATGCATATTTTATGTATTGGACCAAAAGGTTAGAAGTAAATTGTTTAAAGTGTCTTTGCAACAATTTTGTTGGATGAAAAGTAAAAATGATCCAATTTGCTGTTCCAATACCCACTTTGAATTAACACTTGGACATCACTGAAACATGCTTTGGTGATTTCAACAAATTTAAATATACAGTGTTTCTGCCCCAGGGTCTTTTTTCTTTCTTTCAGAAAACATCTTCATCTTTTTATCATGATTAAAAGGAAAAAGGAAAACTGATGCATGTATCCTGGCCAAGAGAGATAGAAAGAAATTGATATCAGTGTATAATCATTGAACTGCCTTATGTTATTTAGTAAAATTGCATTTGCCGCAGTTAGCACCTTACAACATAAATGAGATTGTTTAGCAATTAACATTCTGAAATGTTATATCTTAAACAACAAGAACATTTGCAGTTCTTAAAATTCCCTGCTGGTGCACAGTTCTACTTGATTTAAAAAAAAATAGCATTAAGGTTTGAAGAGTTTTAAAACAATCAGTTAAAAAACAGCCTTTGAATTTCACATTCAGTAGAGTGCTAAAAGTGTAGTTGTATTGAGAGGAAAATGTTATCAAAAGTGTGTATCTATTATACAGACAAAACAGGTTCTATCTATAATTGAATGTTTTAATGCCAAAAACACAATACTGTTATAATAAGGTAATGAGACTGTTAAGTAAAGCTTTTACCTTTATGTATATTTTACTTTGACTACTTCTTAAGATGGCACTGCTTTCCTACGAAGTGTGCTTTTGTTTAGTTGACAAATGCTGATTAAGTTACTTCCCTATATTACCATAAGTCTGACTGTTTTATGGCCATTTAAGTCCAGCTGAATGAGTTATGGGGAAATGCAGTAATTCTTACTAGACTATTTAAAATATATTAAAACTTAGGAACCTTAAATGTGGAATGTTGACAGCTCAACAAAAATGCTGATTGTCCAGGCTAATGGTTATATAGTTTGCCTGTTTTCCATTCTTGTATGCTGGGAAGAGAATTTAAGGTTCTGCTTCAAAACAAGGGGTTGTGCAACATAATCTGAACTTGTGTCACCATGGAGATATAAACTTGACACTGCAGATTATTTCCAAAAATAAGGAGGGTCCTCCTCCTTAACATGGTACAGATTACATGGGATATCCGTCCTTACAGATTCTCCACTATGTGGATGTATTTTAAAGGAAAGAGTGTTTTGTCTACTAATTAGGCATGAGCTGCTTTGCCTTTAGGTGTATCTTTATTACTTCAGGTGCATTTTAGATACTCAGGCAATGATATCTACAGTTACCTGGGATTAAACCCTAATTGAACACATTGGGATTCATGAATGAATGAATGCATATGATTATGCTGGCAATATTGTAAAATATGCAGCAAGTGGGTAAAAAGGTCCTTTTTTATTTCCTAAATGCTCATTTTGAAAGCAAGCTGTAGCAGCTGTATATCTTTTAGTTTAGTTAATTTAAATCATAAATGAATTATATTTGGATTCATGAGATATCATTGGATACTATTGTACTCCATTTAGGGAAAATAATGTTATTCATGACTATTTAGTGCTAGAAACTGTATGAAAAGTTGCTGCAATATTAAGATATTGGCAGAAAATTTAAAAATGTATGATTACATTTAAACTGAAACACAATATTTTGAGACCCACAGCGCTGCTATTGCATCTTACATTTAAAAACATATGTATTTTATTCCCTTTTAAAGAAATAATTGAATGTTTATAAAGTAAAATATAGGCTTCTAAACATTTGACATAAACTTACAAATTACATAAATTAATTAAAGCAGGACATAGTTTACACATTTCAACAGTATTGAAAGTTTTATTAATGAATTATTTATCTTCTTAAAGAAGGTTGTTTGACTATGATTTTACTTCACAACTAAAAGCATAGTTTAAAAGGCCAATTTCTATTCATTTAAAAAGAATCTTTAAAGCAGTACTGTTTGAATCTTGCCAGTCAAAGAGAGGGTGGTCAGAGCTTTGATCTTTATAGAACTACGTTATCTCTTGTTAGTTAATAGTTAACATTCTCTGATTTTTGCTACAATAATTGACTTACTTGTTCCCTAAATACTTTTCTTCTAATCACTTGCTGTTTCTGGATATTCCATTTAGAATTCACGGAAAGTTTAGTTGTGCTTTTTGTGGGGGAGAGATGAAATGTATAACAAGGACAAATAAGATACTTTTATGTGGGGGAGAGATAGGGCATATCGTACAGTGTGGCTGAGGTCTCATTTTTAATCTTAAACTTGAATATAGTTGTAAACACGGGCATACAGGAACAAAAGGCTGTGTCAAACTCAGGCTTGATTTGAAATGTCTTACTGGAATGACTAGAGGAATTTAAACTTACTCAAGAATTTTAAAAATGTAACTATGGAAGATCTATATAGGAATATGCTTCAGCTCATTTCTACATGCCCTTATCCATGTGGAAGTAAGACTATTTTATGGACAAAGTTTGTCTTCAAATCTCCCCTATCAAGATCAGGAAATCAAGAGTAGAAGTTGGTATGGATTGGCATCTTCAGATTGTATTGATGACCCATCACCCAATAGGATGTACAATATAATGTGATCTAGTGTACTTCTAAGGTGTTCCAGGAAAGGCTGTTAATGGTAGAATTAGCATTAAAAATAAACACCCTTTTCTCACTGTTTCCTGTTCTGGGAAACCACAGAAAGACTTGTAAAAATGAAAAAGTGTTTTGATCTTACAGCTTTTAAGTATGTTTTGAAATAATTACAAAGTTTAGATTTTTCTCCTTTGCTGCACACAAAATGGATATAAAAATTCTACACACCCCTGTTTAAAATGTCAGGTTTTTGAGATCTAAAAAAATCAGATTAAGATAAATCACTTCAGAATGTTGTCACCTTTAACATACAAGCTGTACAATTCAATTGAAAAACAAACTGAAATCTTTTTTTGGGGGGGAATAAAAAAATAATATGGTTAAGTCTGTACATTCTTAAACTAATACTTTGTTGAATAACTTTTGGATTTTATGACAAAATTCACACTTTTGGGATTGGAGCCTATCAGTACGGCCCATCTTGCCTTGGAAATTTTTACCCACACTTGCTTGCACAAGCGCTTCAAATCTGTCCCATTTGGCCAAATTATGGCCAAAAACCCAACCTTAGTCTCATCAGACCATAATACATTTTCCTGCATGTTTTTTTTTGCTTGGTGTACTGTAGTTTTTGCACAATGTAGCTGGGCTTGGATGTTTTCCTTTGTAAAATAAAATTTAAAAAAGGCTTCTTTCTTGCCACCCTAATCCCATAGGTCAGACATATGAAGAATACAGGAGATTGTTGTCACATATAGCACAATAAGATCTTTTTGATGCTTTGTAACTTTGCAGGCACAGCTTTTGCTGTAAGAGTAAATGTCTGACAAATCCTACAACAACTGAACTTCATATGAGCTTGATCAGAATCACTTTAGTTGATGGCAAGTGTGTACTGACTGCTACTTAATGTCAATTTGAATGAGATTGGTTAATTCTGAACACAGCCACATCTCTATTTATAAGAGTGTGTTCAAGGGGAAGCAGCCATATTGTACTTTTTTTTTCCTCCTAAAAGATTTCAGTGTGTTTTTCTCTTGAATTGTACAGCATATATGTTATATTAAAGGCAGACAAAGTTCCGAAATGATTTATCCTGGTCTGATTTCTTTATATCACAAAAACATGGCATTTTAATAGGTATGTAGACATATCCCTGTAGAGGATAGTTTACATTTCAGGCAAAATGTGAGTACTGGCTCTGATTGCATGTAGGATTGACACAATAAGAATTGTTTGGTACCCTTCAAATATAGGAGCAAATCATGGTTAAGTTCTTTTTTTTCATCTCTCCTAATGATTTCTGGGCATAATTCTAAACTGATTCTAAACTGAACAGCCAACACAAACTGGGCCTTTTGTTACCTCTAAATTAATATTACATAGTCTACTATAAATGGATTGTCCAGCCACCTGTAACCATGGTTGTAGTTGATTACATGCTATGGAACTGGATGATGGATCATGACGAGCCTAGTTTCCTGTTACATCTGAATTGTATTTGAGTCTGTAAGCTCTGCAATCTTTCAATTATTGGGTCTCCTGAAAAAACAGGAGTCCTCATTGGTGACACTCTATAAAGAAGATCATTGAATAATCTTCTAACTCTGAGTAGAAGCATTTTTCCTTCATAACTGAGTATGTGGGCTCAAGAAGCACCTTACCTGTTGTTTTTTTTGATCAAAACTACAAATGTACTTTTTCTGAAACATTAATTTTTTAAAATTTAAAAATAAAATGGGGCTGGTGTAGAGAAACCACGAAAACAAAATCGATTATCAAAGACTGTCAAATAGTAGCTAAACAGGATTTATATTTCAGACTCAATACTCTATACTACACTATTAGAATTGACTTTCCCATCTATCTTTCAGCAAGCATAACTTGTTTCATCAGGTGTTTTTTTTTTTTAAGATTGTATATGTCAAATTAAGTTTGTATTAAATATTGAGTAACGTATATTCCTTAAAGGTGGAGCCCATAGTAAAGATAATTATTAGTTTGGAAGATAAAATTCCTTAAAATATTTTAATGCATGCAATTAAAGAATTTGATTAGTAGGACCTCTTGAATGAAGTTAAAAGAATTGCTTTATAAATCTTTCGGCTATGGGAGGTGGGTAGTGATATTCTGATATATTTTGTAAATCCAAATATTATGAAATATGTATATTGTAATGTTTATAATAGTATTCCCCAAATCCAGTGAATTATTATACAAAAGCACCATGCCTGCGAGAGATGGAGTCACATGAGTGGGGGGTGGGGGGGTGCAGTTGTTATGCACATTGTTGCCCTGAAAAAAATGAGAAATTTGCCTGCAAAAGGGGAATTCGTCTGATTTTGGAATTAAAAGAAAGTTGTGGAAAGTATATTATTGTGTAGACCTTGTGCGTGTCTGCTTCACAGGCTAAAATTGCCTCTTGCTAAGCCGTTTCTGTACATGCCCAAATTTGAACACATGCCTGCCTTTCAGTAGATTACAATGTAGAATCAGCTTTTTGAAATCATGTGCATTGGAGAACAAAACCGCTTTAATATACATTTCAACTGTTACACTTTTTCTCCAAATACAGGTAGTCCTCGACTTACAACAGTTCCATTAGTGACCGTTCAAAATTTACAACGGCACTAAAAAAAGTGACTTATGACTTTCACACTTGCACATTTTTCTCCATGGTCATGTGACCAAAATTCAGATGCTTGCAATTAACTCATATTTATGAAGGTTGCAGCATCCCGGGGTCACATGATCCCTTTTTGGGACTTTTTGACAAGCAAAGTCAAGGAGGAAGCCAGATTCACTTAACAACAATTTGTCTAATTTAACAACTGCAGTGATTCACTTAACTCTGGCAAAAAAGGTCATAAAATGGGCCAAACTCACTTAACTAATGTTTCACTTAGCAACAAATTTTGGGCTCGACTGGTCGTAAATCGGGGACTGCTTGTACTTAACTTGCAGAACTTGATGCACATAGTAAAGTAAGCTTTTGCAATGTCAGAATTTTAGCAAACCGTGCTTCAAAATGTACAGTGGGTTTATACATAATTTGTTCAAATGCTGTATATTCAGAGTTCTCAAATTATTAGAAATTAACAGTAACATTGTTTTCGAAATCTATTACATAAGGGAAAGGTGATCTCTTTAAGAATTGTTTTTTTAGATATTTTGCATATCTAAACGAAAGCAGCTAAAACTTACTTCCCTATTATGAACATTATTCCCTGTCTATGTTCTATGTAAAATAAAGCCTCTATGATTTCAGTAAGATTTGCTTTTACACTAACTTTTCCAGCATTGAAGCTGAAAGAGGTCTTGGAAACATTTTCTATATTCAGTGCCTAATCTCTGCTACTATGGAAAACCTGCTGAAAAACCTCTGCCATGTGCACTGCCAATTAGCTCTTAAGAGTGGAGCATCCTGTGATCACTCAAGTTCAAACTAGAACAAGTGTCATCAATGATTAGTTGCCAAGATATACTGTATCTTAAGCCCATGTAGGTATGTAACCTTTTGCACCTATTTAGAAATAAAAGCCCTTGTGATTTTTATATATATCCTTTGAAAAAAAAACTGTTCAGATGCTTGGATTTCTCTCATTCAAGTTTTGGTGAGCTCAACTGTAGTTTCTATATTATAGTATTTCAGAAGCATTGAATGTAATTTTGAGAATATAGATTGTGACTCATTATCTTTTAAGATACACATCTAAACTAGTGCCTTTTTCCTCACAGTCTGTGTTAGAAGATACTCTTCCTTTTCTCATATGGATTCAGTTGTTCAATACTCTCCCAAATATAAAAGCATATTGCCACGGCTATTTGATAGAATTGCTTTATTATTTTCCCTTTACTTTGCTAAGAGCTTTCTCTTGTTGAGTGTTTCAGTTGATTTACCTAATGCAAATGATACAAAAAATAAAGCACCCAATGGGAATGGGGGAATACAAGTCTGGTGTCTTTGTTGAAATGTGTCTTGTGAACATTCAATAGGTTTATGCTAGGAAAATGCAATGTTGGGTGTGAGAAATCAGGAAGCAAAGCTGTTCAATTGACTACAGGTTTATTGCATGCCAAGCCTCTACAAGAACCTGAACTGCTAACAGTCAAAGCAAATTAGCGGTAGATAAGAGTCAGTAGAATTCAAGGTGAGCTGGACTTAGATCTCTTGTCGGCGTGAAGGGATTCAAGATTGATGATGTGTTTTACCCCTCTCTCAGGTTCAGCCTGCTCATCTACATGCAGACAGTAAATTTTAAAAAGCTGCAGGAGTGGCTTTATTATCCTTTAGTAATCTTGGGTATGACTTGGTTTGGGTATGACTTTTTTGTGAAAGAAGTATACAAGGAATGCGTGTGAATGAAGACGTGAAATAATCAGAGTTGAGTTTGGAACGACAGTTCAGATTGCAGGTATGAAGGAACTTGAGGCAGCCGAAGGAGTAAGAATGGAGTCCAAAATTATCCACCGCTTAGGATTCATTCTGTAACAGGAATGGATGGCAGGAAGAAAGCATAGGCATCTCACAATCAAATAGAAATTTTGGAGAACATTATCTGAAAGGAAAAGTATGCTAAATTGAAGATACAGTCACTTCCTAAAGGAAGATTTAGACAGAAAATAAGTTTAAAATCACACATACACAAAGTTATACAGGGAGAGTTCAAATTACAAAGGAACTGGGATTGCCATTGCTAAGCGATGCGTTCATAAGATTGATGTAATGTGACCGCACTACTTAGCAACAGCAATCCAGGCAGTCCCAGTTGCTGTTGTAACCCCCAAATGTGCAAACAATTAAAGAGGAAGTGGTGGGAGTCCTAGAGGTAGGAAATTTAGGGTGCCACATAGGATTTGTGAGTCCTGGTGCAAGCCACATGTAAGTTGGAGAACGAGGATACTACAGGCACATGCGAACCTGGGGAGGCCCAGGAGGGAAGAAGGAAGGACACTAAAAGAAGGAAAGGAGACTTATTAGAGTGATTTCAAATCTCCATTGACTTTGTGAGAAGCCAGTAGAGAAGGTCATATATGGTAACCGTGGGACACTGTCAAGCATCCTGGGTAAACCAGACAGGAAACACTACTAAATGAGCTAATCCTACTTTATTGCAAGGCTACATTAAGACTCTTGAAACTCTGAAAGTACAAACTTCCTACTGCCACATTTAATTCCCTGATCAATTAGGGCAAGTCCTTCCTAAATTTCTTCCTCTGACTGATAATCCATCAGGGGCTCCTGCCTCTCCTGTCTGTCTGTTTCCTAGGCAGCATTTCTTCCCTTCCTTTCCCAAGGTCACCTGCATATTCCATCACATTCTGCAACTGTGGTTAAGTGCAAGCTGGTTGCTGAAGCACCAGAATTTCAATCGTGGGACTGTGGAGACACTGCAATGGCTGGTACTTTGAGGACTGGTTTTAAGTACTACTACTTCAGCGCTGTTGCCACTTTGAACAGTCTCTGAAAGAGTGGCTGATAAGCAAGGACTATCTGTAAAGGCTTGGTTTCCTTACCTTGTCAATTTCCAGTGAAAAGAATTTTCCTCAACAAAATGTGGATGTGACATTATTATATATAGTATATTTGCGTATAGAACACAACAAATGGCGTTCCAAGAAAAGGCCAGTCCATGTACTTTTAATTAACGAATGTCTGGAATTCAGGAAGTTGAAATCCACACATCTTAAATTTGTCAAGTTTGGAAAACACTGAACTGTCTCTACCACATGCCAGTCAAACACATCCAGTTTCCACTAATCCAACACTTTGAGTTGTGCAAAGTGGGCCTCTATAAATTAATATGCAACCTACAGGAAAGAGATTCCTGAAGATTCTCACTGATCCAGGTCATATTTGTCCCAAAGGTGCTTTTTCAAGAGGCAACTGGGCTTTCTGAAGAAGAAGTTCTTGGGTGAGAAGTGAAACGTCTTCAAAGAAAAAAAAGTCCAGTTGCCTCTTGAAAAAGAATCTTTGGGTTCCCCTGCAGTTCTTTGGTAATGAAGTGGTTCTCCAATGCAGATATTCTGGACAACAGGAGACAGAATTACTGCGCTCATTCTCATTCCACCATTAAGTGAGTTCCTTTCTCCCAGGGGTGGGCTTCAAAAATTTTAGCAAGGGGTTCTCTGCCTGGTTGCTGGGTGGGTGTGGCTTAGTTGGCCTCCTGCACTATGGGGGGGTGGGTTGCCCTCCTCGGGCTCCAGAGGCTTTCCTCGAGCCTCCAGGAGGTGAAGACAGCCTCCCCAGGCTCTGGAGGCCAGTAACAGGCCAGTTTCTGGCTTCCCGAACTTCTGGTAGGCCCATTTTTCATCCACCCTGAGCCTCTGTGCGCGCCCTGCACTTACCTGCATCTAAAAGGCTGTGTGGGGATTCCTGGAAGGGGCGGGGCAGGACCAGCCAGGAGTGGGGTTTGGGGGTTCTCCAAACTGCACAGAATCTTAGACATGCTCCTGAACCCCTGCGAACCCCCAGCAGCCCACTCCTGCTTTCTCCTGGCTCTTCCTTCAAGCTGTTGCATTCTTCATCTGCTTGTTCCCTTCCAAAGTATCTTCCTGTTGGATTTAGATCCTTCGCTGAGTAAGGGTTGGATTAACTGCTGTCCAACTTTAGCATTCAATGATTCTATGTGAACTGTATTTATAGTAAATGTAACATGTCTGCACATAGAATGTGCTGGTAACTACTTGAGAATAATGCTTGTTTTCCTTTTGGGTATGTTTAATAAGTTTCTTTAACTGATGCAGCTTTTTTTTTGTCTATTCCAAGTTTTCCTCACAGGGCACTAACTTTGTTAAAGCAACTTAGATCTAATCAAAGTATATAGTATAGGCCTCTTCCTGATGCTAGCTGTCCCTGAAGAGCACCCTTTCTTTAAATAGCTTTGGTATTTTCTCTTCCCACATGGCCCCTTGGGACATGCTTATTTTGTTTTATTTTTTTTTAGCAAATCTTCAGTATGAGACTGAAATCTAACTTTCTGGTTTGTTACCCAGAAGCTATAATGCGTAAATGCAACCTTTCATAAATGTCCTGAAATCATAAGGCACTTCACTGCAGCTGTCTTTTAACTGAGGAATAGTCAGCTGAGCCCACTTTACGTGCTTGCTTTCATGTCTTAATGGGATAGTTCCTAAATATTTAGTCATCAGCATTTACTTGCTGAGGCAACAGTTGTATGGAGTTTCAATTCCTTCTAAGGCCCAGCTGTATAGCCAGCCAAGGAGACTCCTGAAGGTTAAATCTACAGCTGACTTGATGGTGGGGGAGAGAGAGAAGAGAAGAGAAAAATGGAAGATTACTTATCCTAGGATTAGGGAAAATGTAAAGCCCACTCTAAAAATCACGCTAAGCTATTCTCGCCTTGCAGCTTTATCTTTTATGCAGGCAAGCAAGCGCATGGACTGTAAAATCTGGTACACATGTTTCTTCCCAGGGTACCCTTCATTCAAATTGAAATACGGAACCACTTGAGCCACTATTGCCAAGGAACGTGACAATACCTCAATATGGAACATACTAGCATCCTGTGCAAGATTTTATTGGGTTGTCACGTTAGTAAAACACCTTTTAAAATAAATGCTTGCCTGAGTAGCCTGTGCGAATCCTAAATTCATTGGGGGGGGGGAGGAAGGGCGGGAGGGCATGGTTGTTCATTGGCCTTTTTGCGAATCTCTTTCCTTTCCCTCCCCCCATCTCCATGCTAGAGTTGAGCTTAGTACAACTTTCTTTGCTTCTTAATAAAATATAAGAAGCTGCAAGTGACTCTCAAAGCAATATCCAGATGTTTTCTTCTTACAGAATTCCCCCTTCCTGTGGTGACTTCTCTGGGTTTCATTACCACATAGCACAGATGTGGTAACTCGCAATAGAAGCTAATTTTTCAAAAAGAAAAAGAAAAAGAAAACAACACTTTGTTTTCTAAAAAAACATAAGCCTTACTAAGAACACCTGCAGGTTCAAAACGAAAGTTTCAAGACCTTTCAACTTTTGATAAGAGCATACTGGAATCTCATCAAAATGAAAGGGGCCAGGCAGCAATTCCTGCCAATTTTTAAAAACTTAAGTTGCTCCTGACGCTGCCCTTCACAAGAAACCTTTTTAAAGCAATTGAACTAAATGTGACTATTGAATTATGCTCTTCCTTTTTGTAGAAGCTCAAGAAGTCCTAAATATTATTTCAAGAGTGAAATATCAAAATTCAAACAAATCAGGATTGGAGAACCAAAGTTTTCTTTTCCCATGAATCTCCCTCATCACCATGGAGCATGGCCAATTCTGCTGCCACTACCAAGCCAGTCCAGGGCAGATGGAATGAGATGCATCAGCTTCTTAAAACGCTGTATTTTTTCTTCTACCATCTTGCTCCTACTTTCTTCTCTATTTTTTATAATTTTTATTAAGAAATCTTTAACAAAGTGCTAACCATCTACTTGCAGTCACCCGCTTTCAAACTGCTGGGTTGGCAGGAGCTGGAGGGTGTGACAGGAGCTCACTCCATTCCAAGGCAGCAATTGGGTCTTGAATGTGAGTCTGCCTATTGTCAGCCCAGCATCCTAACCTTGTGACCAACTGCCCTCCCTTTTAACAAAGTAAAAACCACAAGAGAAATATATTTATTTATAATAAAATGAAGATAATAAGCAACAGCAGGCAATAGTGAAAGAAGAAAATAGGAAAGGAAAAGAAAGATCATAAAAAAGTAATTTCTGATCCTCTTGACAGTGGTTATAGATACATTTTTACTTTGCCCTCTTTCTCCAAGTTGCATCATAATTTCCTTCTTTCCATAAGATACTCTTTTTAACCTTCAAATTCATAAATCACAAGTTCATTTTTCTCTTTTATTCAGCAAAAGGTCCATAAGAGGCTTCCAGTCACTAATAAATGTAGTCGTTGAATTTTTGCTAATCAAACAGGCTAATTTTGCTAACTTGTTCAGTGCCATTGTCA